GACTCTGCACTTGTCCTTGTTGAACCTCATCAGATTTCTTTTGGCCCAATCCTCTAATTTGTCTAGGTCCCTCTGTATCCTATCCCTACCCTCCAGCGTATCTACCTAGGAGGGTGGTGAATCACTGGAATACGTTACCTAGGGAGGTGGTGGAATCTCCCTCCTTAGAAGTTTTTAAGGTCAGGCTTGACAAAGCCCTGGCTGGGATGATTTAATTGGGGATTGGTCCTGCTTTGAGCCGGGGGTTGGACTAGATGACCTCCTGAGGTCCCTTCCAACCCTGATATTCTATGATTCTATGATACCGCTCCTCCCAGTTTAGTGTCATCTGCAAACTTGCTGAGGGTGCAATCCACACCATCCTCCAGATCATTTATGAAGATATTGAACAAAACCGGCCCCAGGACCAACCCTTGGGGCACTCCACTTGATACCAGCTGCCAACTAGAGATGGAGCCATTGATCACTACCCTTTGAGCCCGACAATCTATCCCGCTTTCTGTCCACCTTACAGTCCATTCATCCAGCCCATACTTCTTTAACTTACTGGTAAGAATACTGTGGGAGACAGAGTCAAAAGCTTTGCTAAAGTCAAGGAACAACACGTCCACCGCTTTCCCCTCATCCACAGAGCCAGTTATCTCGTCATAGAAGGCAATTAGATTAGTCAGGCATGACTTGCCCTTGGTGAATCCATGCTGACTGTTCCTGATCACTTTCCTCTCCTCTAAGTGCTCCAGAATTGATTCCTTGAGGAATCATGATTTTTCCAGGGACTGAGGTGAGGCTGACTGCCCTGTAGTTCCTAGGATTCTCCTTCTTCCCTTTTTTAAAGATGGGCACTACATTAGCCTTTTTCCAGTCGTCCGGGACCTCCCCCGATCGCCATGAGTTTTCAAAGATAATGGCCAATGGCTCTGCAATCACATCCGTCAGCTTCTTTAGCACTCTCGGATGCAACGCATCTGGCCCCATGGACTTGTGCACGTCCAGCTTTTCTAAATAGTCCCGAACCACTTCTTTCTTCGCAGAGGGCTGGTCACCTCCTGCCCATGCTGTGCTGTCCAGTGCAGCAGTCTGGGAGCTGACCTTGTTTGTGAAGACAGAGGCAAAAAAAGCATTGAGTACATTAGCTTTTTCCACATCCTCTGTCACTAGGTTGCCTCCCTCATTCAGTAAGGGGCCCACACTTTCCTTGACTTTCTTCTTGTTGCTAACATACCTGAAGAAACCCTTCTTGTTACTCTTAATATCTCTTGCTAGCTGCAACTCCAGGTGTGATTTGGCCTTCCTGATTTCACTCCTGCATGCCCGAGCAATATTTTTATACTCTTCCCTGCTCATTTGTCCAATCTTCCACTTCTTGTAAGCTTCTTTTTTGTGTTTAAGATCAGCAAGGATTTCACTGTGAAGCCAAGCTGGTCGCCTGCCATATTTACTATTCTTTCTACACATGGGGATGGTTTGTCCCTGTAACCTCAATAAGGATTCTTTAAAATACAGCCAGCTCTCCTGGACTCCTTTCCCCCTCATGTTTTTAGCTCTACTCCACTTGCTGAGGTTGAGTACAGAAATTGGATTAAAGAGCCCTTTAAATCGAAAAAAACAGTTTGGTCGTATGGACGGAATCAGTTTTATTTCGAATTAACTCGGCTAATTCCAAAATAACCGTGTACTGTAGACCAGGCCTAAGTGTCTGGAGCACCGCGTCAGGAGCCCTAAGGTTAGCACAGAACAGGAAGTTACAGCCAAGTCCGTCTGGGTCTGACCGAAGCCCAGGGCTTAGTCTCAGGCCCCAGTCCAGAAGCACCTTGCTTCTCGCAGACCACATTTAACTGACCCACCCTGCTCCTCCTCCGTCCTTTGTTTCCCTTCCAGGCAAGGGGGTCTCCTGTGCTCGCTCTTTGTTCTCCAGCTGGCCAAACTAGCCCAGAGAGCCAGGGTCCTCACTTGTTAGATCACCGGGCTATTGTCTGGGCTCAGGCCCCCACCTAGATCTCTGGATTCTTCTGCAAAGAAACACCCCACTCCCACCCCCACCTAGCCCATCATGCAGTACCTAGTGGAAAGTGAGGCACATACTGTATTCATGCAAAATGTTCTGAAATAAATCCCACTTGGTCACACCCCCTAGTCACCACAAGCTGCTAGGTTCACTGCAGGAATTTCTGGGGGAGGGGGTCTGGCCCAGTGGATCTCAACCAGGGGTACGCAGAGGTCTTCTGGAGGAACATAAACTCATCTAGATATTTGCCTAGTTTTACAACAGGCTACATAAAAAGCACTAGTAAAGTCAAGGATTACTTGTGGCACCTTAGAGACTAACAAATTTAAATAAATTGGTTAGTCTGTAAGGTGCCACAAGTACTCCTTTTCTTTTTGCGAATACAGACTAACACGGCTGTTCCTCTGAAACTAGTAAAGTCAGTACAAACTAAAATTTCATACAGACAATGACTTGTTTATACTGCTTTATCTACTGTACACTGAGACGTAAGGACAATATTTATATTTCAGTTGATTTATTCTATAATTATCTGGCAAAAATGAGAAAGTCAGCAATTGTTCAGTACTGGACTAGTGTGCTGTGACACTTGTGTTTTTGTCTCTGATTTTGTAAGCACGTCATTTTAAAGTGAGGTGTGACTTGGGGGTTTGTAAGACAAATCAGACCCCTTAAAGGAGACTGTAGCTTGGAAAGTTTGAGAGCCGCTAGTCTGGCTTGCGTTACCCAGGGGTCAGGCTCAGGGAGCCCCGCTCCTTGCTGGCTGAGGTGTACCCGAAGGCAGTGTGCAGGAGGGAAGGCAGCTCGGCCTGGCATTGTGACCTGCCCGTGGGATGCTGGATGAACATAGCTCCTAGCACGTAGTCGGTCTCGGATGTGGTCAGAGCAGGCGAGCAGGTGAAGGTGGCGAGCTAGGAGAGGGGCATGGGCATAGCCTCCTTTCCGTGCAGGGCTCCACTCAAGGAGAACAACCTGCACTAGTGCTGAGCGAGCGTGGCACTGGCCACCCTGAGAATGTCCTACAGCTTCAGACGTTGTATTCCATGCAGCTCGCCCCTTGCGCCTCCCCTGCTCACTTCAGCATGCTGGGGCAGTCCGAGCTAGGGCCGTTCTGTCCCCTCCACCTCCAGTGCAGACGTGCCTGAGCTAGGCTGCACCTTGGTTTGCTGGGCCACCCGTCGTGCCACCCACTGTGGAGGGAGAGAGCCAAGAGAGCTGGCCAGGAGCGCGGGGGAGCCTGCGCTGGAGTGGGGCTCTGTGGTGTTCGTGGGTCAGCCCTGGTACCAGTGTCCGAGCTGCAGACTGATCCTGTGTGCGTCTCTGCTCCCCGCTGCCTCCCCCAGCAAGAGAGGGGCTGGCGGGTATGTGCTAGCCCCCCTGCGTGGCCGTGGCTCAGAGCTCAGGAGAGGGGCTGGCGGGTGGGCCTGGCGGGTGTGCTAGGGGGGGGGGGTGTGCTAACCCCCTGCGTGGCCGTGGCTCAGAGCTCAGGAGAGGGGCTGGCGGGTGTGTGCTAACCCCCCTGCGTGGCCGTGGCTCAGAGCTCAGGAGAGGGGCTGGCGGGTGTGTGCTAACCCCCCTGCGTGGCCGTGGCTCAGAGCTCAGGAGAGGGGCTGGCTGCGCGCGGTGGCTCAGAGCTCAGGAGAGGGGCTGGCGGGTGGTGCTAACCCCCTGCGTGGCCGTGGCTCAGAGTAGGAGAGGGGGGGGCGGGCGTGGCAGAGTCAGGAGAGGGGGCGGGGTGTACCCCTGGGGGGGGGAGGGGCTGGCGGGTGCGTGCTAACCCCCTGCGTGGCCGTGGCTCAGAGCTCAGGAGAGGGGCTGGCGGGTGTGTGCTAACCCCCCTGCGTGGCCGTGGCCAGAGGGCGGCGGGGGCCCCCGGGCCGTGGCTCAGAGCTCAGGAGAGGGGCTGGCGGGTGTGTGCTAACCCCCTGCGTGGCGTGCAGAGCTCAGGGGGGGGGGGGGGGGGGGGCCCCCGGGGGGCTCAGAGCTCAGGAGAGGGGCTGGCGGGTGTGTGCTAACCCCTGCGTGGCCGTGGCTCAGAGCTCAGGAGAGGGGCTGGCGGGTGTGTGCTAAACCCCCTGCGTGGCGTGGCTCAGAGCTCAGGAGAGGGGCTGGCGGGTGTGTGCTAGCCCCCTGCGTGGCCGTGGTCAGAGAGGTCACGTCCCTGCCCTCGCAGGTACTGCTCCAGTGCTGCCTCGCTCTGCGATCTCCTGGCCAGGCTTAGCAGCAGGGCAGGGATCGGCGAGCCCCCAAGCATGGCCCCGTGTGCTGGCTCGCTGCAGGCAGTCCTCTTGCCCCTTTCTAGGCAGGCTGGGGGATCCCACCTCTCAGCCCTGAGCTGTATGGGCCCAGTGTGCTGCTTTAACTGGGCTCCCGTGGCAGGGGGGACACCAGCAGGCCTGGCTAAGCTGTGACAGGCTATGGCTGGCCACGGGTCTGGCAGGTGCCAGGCTATAGCCCCGCACGGAGCCTGCAGGATCCGGGACAGACCTGACTGGACAGCGAGAGTCCTGCTGTATCACTCTCTCCAGCACAGCCCCCTGGCCCGGCCCTCCTGGGGAGGTAGTGGTGGGCTGCTGGCATTCGCCTGCCTGGGATTGCCAATCCGGCTGCTCAGCGAAGGGACCTCCAGCTGCAGTGTGAGCCCGCCTGGGCTCCGCTCCATTATGGAGTGGGAACGGAGCAGCTCACATGGGGAGAGCCCCTCCTCCCTTCCAGGTGCTCTGGCATCTTGGGGCGCTGTGTGTGGAGGGCGATAATGATTCTGCCTGGCTCTGTGCCCGTGGGGCTTCCCAGCTGCACCCGTACTCGCCCCCTTCCCCATGGGCTTCCATTAACCCCTTTCTGGAGTGTGCTGAGTGCCTCTTTGCTCCCCAGACCCAGAGCTGCCATTGGGTCCGGGATTGTGCTCCCCCAGCCACAGAGCTGGCAGCTCAGTGCTGCCGGCCCCCTGGGGTTTCCTGGGCAGGTGAGTGATGCTGTCCCTCTGTTGTTGCAGACCTGCTGCTGGACTGGAAGCAGAACGCTGACGAGGTCATTGTGAAGCTGAACTTGGGCAGCGGGCCCCTGAAGGTGGAGGAGGTGGATGCTGCATTCACAGACACCAACTGCATAGTCAGGCTGCCAGGTAACAGCTGCAGAGCTGGCAGCAGCCAGCCGCTCCAGGCAGGATCATGGTCAGCGCCTGGAGAAAGACACAGCAGCTCCCGGTGAGCGGGACGCCCCGTCCCTGGCTCACATGGCTGTGCTTGGCCGTGTCCTCCGCTGACCAGAGCACAGTGCCATGCAGGGCAAAGGGGCGGGGGGAGAAGAAAGCACTCGATAGCATAGGTAACCCAGAGCAGTGCATGGAGCTGGGCTCCTCTGCACTGGCCACATACTCTGTGCTTCCTGCAGACCCCGCCCCAGGTACAGACACCGTCTGGCCTGCCCAAGATCCACTGACCTCGCTGGGAACAGCTAGCTCTAGGGCGCCAATGGGAGAGGCTGCTCGCGGGTTGGTTCAGGGCATAATGGAGACATCGCTCCTGGTACCTGCCCAGCCTGTCGGGGATGCCCCCTCTGCACAGGAGATGACAGAACATGGAGGCTAGTCCCAAATCAAGAGCTGAAACCTTGAGTTGGTCTGGGGGCCCATCCCTGTGTGGTCCCAGGAGGCAGGCGTCCCCAGCCAGAAAGGAAGCAGCAAGTAACCCATGCGTGGCTGAGCAGTGAGGGCTGAGGTGGCTCTGCCGGGGAGCTGCCCGGGGGCGGAAGATGTGGGGTGTGATCCCGAAGGGAAGAAGTGGTGCTTTGCCTAGCAGCAGGTGAGCTGCAGGCCCCGCGTGGGCAGGGGAGCAGAGCGTGGGCGCAGGAGGCGTACGGCACTCTCGGGAGATGGTGTGCAGCAGGCGCCCAGGCCCAGTCGCTGGAATTCGCCCCCCTACGCAGCAGTGGCAGAATCCCTCCCCGTGGCTTACGCTGGCAGGGCTGTGCGGGAGCAGGCGACGGGGCGGGGTGATGCGGAGATGGGGTTGGCGATGGCTGAGAGCCACTCAGCCCCTCTGCAAAGGCCGTGTTGGGCCGGCCAGCGGCAAAGGGGAGCTGGCTCGCTGCTGCAGCACCTTTGGCAGAGTCCCCGGCAGGAGGCGCTGAAGGCCCGAGCTCTGTCCAGAGCCCTCTTTGGAGGGACTAGGCCCCACGGAGCAGAGCCCCATAGCCTGCAGCAGCGCCTGCCTGTGCCCACCCCAGCTGTGAGGTCCCTGTTTGTGCCCACAGATGGCCGCCAGTGGAGTGGCGAGTTCTACGGGGAGATCGAGAGCTCCTGCAGCAAAGTCCAGGGCAAGAAGGGCAACTTCCTGCAGCTGGTGCTTCAGAAGAAGATCCCCCTGCACACCTGGGCTTCGCTCCTGGTAAGGCTGCGGCAGAGTCTGGCCACGCACCTCTCTAGGCCCGTGAACTTGCCGCAGGGCCCACTGGAGATGAGGGGAGAGGGGGCTGAGCTCACCCTTCGCCCCCAGCTCTGTGAGCTGCCTTGCCTGGGCAGCAGCCCTGCTGAGCTCCCCTGGGCTGGGAGGGGTGGTTGATCACCATGGGCGTCTTGGTGTGACCCACTGGATGGAGAGGCCCGGCTGAGCTCCCCTGGGCTGGGAGGGGAGGGTGGGCACCGCGGGCGTCTCTGTGTGTCCTGCGGACGGAGGGCCTGGCTGGTGGGAAGCTGGCCATGCCTCTGCCGATGGCATGGTGCTGGCAGTGCCCCTGAGCCCGCAAGCAGCAAGACTGGTGCAGGTTCGTGTCCATGGCCAGGGGAGGGCCCCATTTGGCCCAGTGCCCTGGCTGTGCAGCTGTCCCAGCGGGCCCCATTACCTTTCCCAGAAGAAGCAAAAGGACGGCTCCAAGGAGCTAGCCAAGGGGGCCGTGAGCCAGGAGAACGGGAAGGAACAGCCCCCGCCCGCACAGACTGCCCCCGAGGAGCAAGCAAGGAGCAAACGGGAGTTCCCTAACTCGAAGCGAGCTCTAGGGAGGGGTGAGGCCCCAGAAGGGAAGAGCCCGGCCAGCCCCAGGCTGCAGAGCTGGCCCAGCACCAGGCGGTCCGGGTACCTCAAGGTGGCTCTGATGGAGGAGGAGCCAAATGCCAAGGTTGCTGGGGGCTTGGAGCCTGGCAAGGAGCCCAGTGGGAGAGGGGGCAGCCGGCAGAACAGCCAAGCAGCCCACAGCGATGCTGCCACGGACCTGACCCCACCTCTGGTGAAGGTAAGTGGGGGCACTGGGGAGCCTGCTGCCCCCCTCACAGGTGTTGTCCTGCCCCATCCCCTCTCCCGAGGATCTGGAACCCCTCATTTTCTTGGGGGTGGCAGGCTCCCAGTGGTGCTCCCGGCTGGGCTGGGGCATGGCTCCATGGCAGCAGGAGGATGGGAGCGGGAGGCCTGGCCTGCCACAGACTCGGGATGTTAGGCTGCTCGCTTGAGCCCCGGCTCGGGTTCTCTGTCCGGGCTGAGGCGGGCGCCCTGGGGCGGGGGCTGTGAAGGGGCTGGGCATCATGGCTCCTAGCAGGCTAGATCCCAGCAATCTCTTGGCCCCGGACAGCTGGCTGGCTTACCAGGCTCACACCCTGGAGCCAAGGAACTCCAGAGCCCAGTGGCTGCCTGGCTCTGGTCTCTGGGCAGAGGGAAGGTGCCTGCCCAGCAGGAGCAGAGCTCTTCCTCCCCCGCTCCTGGCGCGGCGCTCTGCCCCTTGGCAGTTGTGTGGGTAGGAGCCCTGGGGCACACCCCAGGGCCCCTCCTGTGCCCCAGGAAACCTGTCACTCCTGCAGTGCAGAGTGAGTGCGGGGGGGGGGGGGGGGCAGGGCAGGTGGGAACAGAGGGGGCTCCCCTTGCTTGGCAGTGGCTGGGGCCGAACTGGTAGCGTGGCTATTCAGGGCCATAGACCAGAGCTATGGCTGGACGGGGGCCGGCCCAAGTTCAGGGGGACCCTCCATGTCTCACCTTCACCCTCTGCATGAAAAGACCGAAGTGCTGCAGACGGAGCCCGTGCTTGTGGGGATGCAGCTACTCGCTGCCCCTTCAGAGAGCTTCCCCCATCACATGGCGCCCTGCCTTGAGAAGAGACCCCTGCAGCCGGCCACCTCCCAGTGCCTTCCAGCCCTTGGAGAGGGCCCCGAGGCTGTCCAGGCCCCTGCCTCCCCTCCGCTGGGCAGAGACGCTGAGAAGAGAGACTGGTCCAAAGAGGATGTTGCCCTGGAAGCAGCAGCTGATGGTAAGTGCCGAGGGGAAGGGAACCAGAGCGCTAGGTGGCAGCTCCCCGGGCCCCTCCTGTTATCAGGAGCCTGCTCTGTTTCCTTGCTGGCCAGTGGCCTGGGAACCAAGGGCGCCTGGCTCCCTGAGGGGGGTGCTGCCATCCTGCAAACAGGGGCCTGGGGCCAGAGCAGCCCACAGAGCTGTCTCCTGCAGCCTGGGAGCTCCCAGCCTGGCAGGCTCCCCTCTGAGTCCTGGGGCCTGTCTGCCTGCAACGCTGGTGGGGAGGGACTCCCAGGGCACAGCCACCTCGCGCCCCCACCTGGCCTTGTCCTGTCCTAGAGCCAGAGCCCATGGTGAGCCTGACCTTGGTGAAGAACGACTCGTACGAGAAGGGCAGTGATTCGGTGGTGGTGCACATCTACGTGAAGGAGATCCACAGGGAGACCTCCAAGGTGCTGTTCCGGGAGCAGGACTTCACGCTGGTGTTTCGGACCAGGTACTGCTGAGCGCCGGGCCCAGCTGTGCCCTGCGGGGGCTGCAGCACACAGGTGCTCCCCGGTGCCCAGGCACAGCCATGTGCCCTCTGATTGCCTTCTCCTCTCCTTGCAGTGACATGAACTTCCTGCGACTGCACCCTGGCTGCGGCCCCCACACGGTATTCAGGTGGCAGGTGAAACTCAGGTACCAGGCACTGGCCCCTCAATATCCTGGCGCTCCCACCTGGGCAGCTCCTGCTCTCCTCCAGCCAGGCACAGAATGAGGACGGGACCCCTGGGTTCCATCCCCACTGCCCCAGCCTTGTGCAAGCAATGCCCCTTTGGGCGTCAAGGGATGCCCTTGACTTGCCCAAAGGATGGCACTGCACACGGCAGCTCCGTCTGCGCTGACCCAAACCAACGGCCTGCGAGATCCCCTCGTCAGCTGGGCCAGCGGGGCAGACAGGAGCCGCAGAGCCCTGAGAGTGCCCGGCTGGCTGCACTCACTGCCCTGGTATGTGCTGCCCTCCGCCGAGGTGCAAGCTGCCTGGCATGTGCTCCCAAGGAAGAGAGCCACCACAGGGTGGGGAGTGGGGGAGCAGGCAGAGCCTAACCGATGTTGGAGACAACACACCAGACCCCATCACTCCACCACTCGGGGCTGGGCGGGTCAGTGGTGGCACTGAGCTGGCAGGAGGCTGGCCCGGCCCACAGCGCCCCCACGCTGCCGACCACCTACCCTGCCAAAGATCCCAGCTGTATCGGAGCGCAGCGAGCTGGCCATGGCGTAGCCCTGGCTCGTGTCTCCCAGCCCTGAGGCTGCTGTCCTGCTCCCAGGAACCTCATTGAGCCGGACCAGTGCACGTACAACTTCACTGTCTCCCGCATCAACATCTGCCTGAAGAAACGCCACAGCCAGCGCTGGGGGGGGGCTGGAAGCACCAGCTGCACGAGGTCTGCTCCTTGGCTTCCCCTCGCCTTACCTCTACGGGCAGGGGCTCAGTTCCCATCTCTGCACGGGCCGGGGGGAGACGCTGCCCACATACAGCGCAGGCTGGGGGTGGGGGAGGGAGCTTCAGTAGGAGCCTGGGGGGCTTGGGCGGCTGGGGGCCCTGCCAGCTTTGGGGGAGGGGGCCAGGCGGGGGGAGCTCACGGGGACCTGCTGGCTTTGGGGGGGCGAGGGAGCTGGGGGGGCCCTGCAGCGGGCCGTGGAGTGCCAGACAGTGACTGGGGATGGGAGCGTGAGCTGCTCCGCCCATGCCCACACTGCTGCTAACCACAGGCCCACCTGTCCCTCTTTTTAAGGTGCAGTGGGTGGTGCAAAGGTTGCCATGCCAACAGCCCCTACCCCTCTGGATAAGAGCCAGCCGGGCAGCAACCAGCACCCCCTGTCCAGTAAGGAGGAGGCTCGGGCAGGGGAGAAGGAGACGCCCAGAGCAGAGGACGGTGGCCTGGAGGGTGTTGTGGCCCGGACGGCCACAGAGCACGTCACAGTGAAGCAGGAGCCGCACGTTCCCTCGGTGAGCACTTGCACGATGGCGTGAGCAGGCGAGACTGACGGGGACCAGACGCCAGAGGGATGCACTCAGCTCCCTCACTGCCGGTGCTATGGGGAGTGCTCCGCGCCAGGCACCTGCAGACCTTCCCACAGCACCTTCTGCTCTGCAAGGGGCAGCACCTCCCATGGGCAGGGATGGTTCCTGCCCGCAAGGCACTGAGGCCAGGGCGCTGGCTGGAGGGGAGCTCCCAGCAGGGGGCGCTGTGGGGGTGGGGCGCTGGCTCTTTGGGGAGCTCCCAGCTGCTCCGGCCTGCCCCAGCCGAGCTCCTTGCAGCGAGAGGCCCCACTCATGCCTGTCCCTCTCTCCCATCGGCCTTGGCAGCCAAAGCCGATGTGCATGGTGCCGCCCATGACTCACAGCCCGGTGAGCAGTGAGAGCGTGGAGGAGGACGAGGAGGAGGAGGAGAAGAAGAAGGTGTGTCTGCCGGGCTTCACGGGGCTGGTGAATCTGGGGAACACCTGCTTCATGAACAGCGTCATCCAGTCCCTGTCCAACACGCGGGAGCTGCGGGACTATTTCCACGGTGAGCAGGGGGCGGTGGCTCTGCCCCTGGGGCTGGGGTGCTGCTGCGAGGGACCTGGTTCACTCTGTCCTGCGTGTCTCCTGCAGATCGCTCCTTCGAGGCTGAGATCAACTACACCAACCCGCTGGGGACGGGGGGGCGCCTGGCCATCGGCTTTGCTGTGCTCCTGCGGGCGCTCTGGAAGGGCACGCACCACGCCTTCCAGCCCTCCAAGCTGAAGGTGAGGGGGGAGCCCCCGTGCCTGGTGGGGTCATGTCATTAGTGCCAGTTCAGCTGGACTCCTGGGAAGCGGACTGTCAGACTAGCTGGGTTTCCCTTTTGGAGGCGGGGGCAGGTGGGTTGCTGAAGGCTGTCGTGCTGACATAATAGATGTTGAATGCTGCAAGGCCGCACAATAGTCTGCTTAGAACACGATAAAATGACATGGCTGAAAAGCCAGCTAACTGAGAGGGCTCAAACTGTCTTGTAACTGGGGAGTCATCGGGCGGGCGTTTCCCCAGTCAGGTCCTACTGGGAGCAGTTCTTGGCCCTTCGCTAGTTAACGTTTTTATCGGTGACCTGCAAGAAAACATCAAATAATCACTGATGAAGTTTGCCGATGGCCTGAAAATTGGGGGTGTGATAAGTCATGCAGAGGGCAGGTCAGTGATACAGAGCAATCTGGGTCGCTTGGTAAACTGGGTGCAAGTAAGCGACATGTTTTAATACAACTAAACGTAAACGTAGCCATCTGGGAGCAGTGTTGGGGGGGCTCTATCGTGGGAAACCGCGACTCTTAAAAGGACATGGGGTCCTGGTGGATAATCAGCTTTATATGAGCACCCGTTGTGTCGCTGTGGTCAGTGAAGCTAATGCAATCCTGGGCTGTGTAATAAGGGAACCTCGAGCAGGAGTAGAGGGAGGTTCTGTTACCTCTGCAACCACCGCTGGGATCCTGGGTCTGGTTCTGGCGCTCCCAAGGCCAGGAGGATGTTGATAAATTGCAGAGGGCACAGAGCAGGGCCAAGAGATGATGAAAGTGTCGGAAACCTGCCTTGTTGTGACAGAGGCAAGGAGCTCAGTCTGGTTATCTCCCCCACGAGCCAGGCCAGGGTGAGGGAGCCCAGCCTGTCCATGCCGTTTTGGGAACAAATCGTGGGCGAGGGGCAGCGAAGGGGTACCCGACCCTGGGTCTGGAGGCTGATGCTAGACATGTCCAGGTGCCAATTTTGGACAGGGAGGGGAATTAGAACAGTTTCCTTGTGGGCGTGGAGGATTCTCCATCCCTGGCCATGGTTCAGTGGGGAGCTGGTGTTTGCTAACAGCCCTGCTCTAGCGGTTACTGGACGGCAGGTCTCTGCCTTGTGCTGGGCACGGGGCCAGACTAGGGGATCACAATGGTCTCTGCTGGCCTGGGGATCTCAGGATCCAGGAATGCCCGGCTAGCTGGGGCTGCTGCTGGGCTTTCCCTCTGCCCCCGGGCTGGGTTCCTCGGGACTGCTCTGCTGTGTCCTGGGGCCTGTGGCAGGCATGCCTGCAGCACTGAGCCCGGGCGCAGAACTGGTGCTGGCCAGCTCAAGCCAGCCTGGTGGTGCTGAGGGGTCTGCGCTCATGACCATTCCTGCCCACAGGCAATCGTGGCCAGCAAAGCCAGCCAGTTCACGGGCTACGCCCAGCACGATGCCCAGGAGTTCATGGCCTTCCTTCTCGATGGCCTGCACGAGGACCTGAACCGCATCCAGAACAAGCCCTACACGGAGACTGTGGACTCGGATGGGCGGCCCGACGAGGTGAGTGCAGCTGCTCAGGGGGCGGGCGCTGCCTTGGCCAGTGGGGCCGGGACACTGACCTCTCCCCTCCCGTCAGGTGGTGGCAGAGGAGGCCTGGCAGCGGCACAAGATGAGGAACGACTCCTTCATCGTGGACCTCTTTCAGGGCCAGTACAAGTCCAAGCTGGTGTGCCCGGTGTGCGCCAAGGTAGGGCCCGGGGCCCAGCGAGCAGCCTTCTCTCCGTGGGGCGGTGGGCACAGCCTGCTCACTGCAGGGTCGCTGGGCCGGCCACGGTGTCCGCTCCCTCAGCCATCTGGAGCCCACTGGCTCGCACTGCCCTGCCAGCAGAGATACTGGGTTCCTTGGCCATCACTCCTCCCGCCCCAGTGCCCAGTTGTCACCACTTCATCTGACCCCAGGGCCTCTGCCTGCTCCTCCACCCCTTGCCATCTGAGCCTTCAAGCGCAGGGCCCCTCCTCTGCGGCAGCTCTGCCCCGGGCTGATTGTTCTGTCCTGTGCACTGCAGGTATCAATCACGTTTGACCCCTTCCTGTACCTGCCGGTGCCCCTGCCCCAGAAGCAGAAAGTGCTGACTGTCTATTACTTTGCTAAGGAGCCGCACAAGAAACCTGTCAAGGTAAGACCAGCCCTCCCACCATGTGGCTTCGCTCCTGGCCAGCTGGGATGGCTGGGGGCGCTCTTGGGGCCCTTTCTGGGAGCCCATCGTTAACCGAGGCGCCATGGCTCCTGGCTGGGCGGCGAGCGGGGCTGGGCGGGGCCTGGCTGACGGCCCTCTCTCTCCACGGCAGTTCCTCGTCAGCACCAGCAAGGAGAACTCCAGCGCTGCTGAGGTGCTGGACTCGGTGGCCCACAGCGTGCGAGTGAAGCCCGAGAACCTGCGGCTGGCAGAGGTGAGCACAGCGGCTGTGGGCTCAGCCACAGGCCTGCACCATACCCCTTTGCGCCTCGCTGCGCTGATGCCATCGTCTGTCCAGTCCCCCTTCCCTGCAGAGCTTGGGGCTGCCCCGCTGCATGTGGGGCGTTGTCCTGTGGCACTGCGAAGTCACGCCAGGTGGCCCTCTCCTATGGCAGCTCCTCGCTGGAGAGCGCCCCAAGCCATGCCTTGGGCGCTGAGTGGGGAGGGCCGGCCCGTATGCCAGCAGGTGGGCCAGGCAGCCTGCACGCAGGGCCTCACTCCCTTGCTTCCCCGGCAGGTGATCAAGAACCGCTTCCACCGCATGTTCCTGCCGTCCCACTCGCTGGACACGGTCTCCCCCACAGACCTGCTCCTGTGCTTCGAGGTGCTGTCCCCAGAGCTGGCCAAGGAGAGGGTGATGGTGCTGCAGGTCCAGCAGGTATGCAGGCTGGAGGGGGACTGGTCTCTTCAGCCACAGGCAGGGCCGAGCTTGTGACCAGACAGCTGTGGGCAGTGCCAGCTGGGAGGGCAAGGCCAAAGGGATCACTTGCCCAGCAGATGGGGCTTGCTGGCACCTTGCCGTGAGCCCAAGGGCTGCTCCTAGTCTGCACCACAGCTTCTCAAGTGCGGCCACCAGCGGCCTTTCTTCTGGGCAGTGATGGGGGGACAGACAAAGTAGCAGCCCGTCCCCGAGGCCGCCAGCTGGGGTTGGTGTCCTCCGCAGCCTCTGAGGAGAAACCAGCTGGAGGGAGGAGCAAGGAGAGTTTCCCCCCACCTTCCCCGGGGCTGTGGGGCTCAGGCTTCAGCCCTGGGTGGTAGGATGCCAGGCACCAGGGCTGCAGGCACGAGCCCCCACCGCCTCCCCCATCACCTCTGGACCCCGCTGCTACCCCCTCACCTCCTCATCCAGGGCTTCATTTCTCCAGGGGCTTGCTGTGAAAGTGATATGAACAAACATGCAAGCATCACATTTTTAACTTTACTTTCGAATAGTGGTACAGACAACCACCTCTTACCAAAAAGGCAAAAGGAACAACAACAGAAATGTGCCAAACACCGCTTTTGTGTTTCTGTTCTGTTCAGATCCAGTAAGAATAGAGACAGCTGTGTGTTATTTTTACTATCGAGTCTGCAAAACCCCCGAGAGAAATGAATTGGGCACGTGTATGTGTACATTGATTGGTTTCCTACAGTTGATGAAGTATTTTAGGAACGTGTCAGAGCAGCCACCAGTAAGAGTTGGTAGCCACACTCTGAGGCCACCAAACCCTGTGCCGTGAGAAGCCCTGCACGACACCTCCCAGTCTGTGATTCCCCTGGGGCGGGTGGGGGCCGCAGTGTATGCTGGAGCCAGTCACCGCCCTGGCCCACAGCTCCGCAGTGGTGGTGCTGCAAGGATCCTTCCCCTGTGTGGCAGCACGCCACTGGGTCACCTTCTCCCTCAGCGTCCCCAGGTGCCCAGCGTCCCCATCAGCAAGTGCGCGGCCTGCCAGAAGAAGCAGCAGTCGGAGGACGAGAAGCTGAAGCGCTGCACTAGGTGCTACCGAGTGGGCTACTGCAACGTGTGAGTTGGTGCATGTGCCCAGAGGGGCGGGGGCGGGCGCTGGCTTGTCTGGGGGCAGTGGCAGGCCCTGGAGAGACTCAGCGGGCTGTATGTTACAGGGGGTGTCAGAAAACGCACTGGCCAGATCACAAAGCCCTGTGCCGCCCCGAGAACATCGGCTTCCCCTTCCTCATCAGCGTGCCGGAGTCGCGCCTCACCTACTCCCGCCTGGCCCAGCTCCTGGAGGGCTACGCGAGGTAAGGGCGGCCGTGGGCACTGCGCGGGCACTGGCTGGGCAGCTCCCCGCACAGTAACGCCTGCTGCCGCCTCGCCTCTGCACCAGGTTCTCGGGCCGCGCTGCCATTAGCCAGGCCGGTCACTGAACCCTCCCTGGCAGAGAGGTGGGGGAGGGGAGTTGCAGCCTCCAAAGCGTGGGGGTCGGTGCGGCCTGGCCCGTGGCCCCCGCCATCGCCGTCTCCGACAGGGCAGAATTCCGCTCGACGGGGGATCTGCGCTCGCGGGGCTGAACAGGGGCTTGGCCTGGAGCGGGCTGTGAGTGTGCTGTGATGGGGACATGCGGAGCTGCTTCTGGGCGCGGCAGCTCTGTTCGTAGTCGCCTTTCGCAGCCTGACGGCTCTTCCCTCCTGCAAGGTACTCGGTCAGCGTGTTCCAGCCTCCTTTCCAGCTTGGCCTGCAGCCCCTGCTCCCCGAGAAGCTGGACCTGCCTGCAAGGAGTAGCTGTGCGACTGCCGCCCCCAGCCCAGAGTCGGGGGATGGGGACCGGGCCCCCCACCGGCAGGAGCCCCAGCTACCCCCCCACACCTCGGAGCTGCACCCTGAGCTGGGGGACGCCAGCACAGTGCCCAGCTCAGATTTGGGCTGCTCTGAGCGCTCCCTGGAGGCGCCGGGCGAGGGCTGCTGGGAGAAGGAGCCGTCCTACGAGCGAGGCCCCAAGCCCGAAGGTAAGAGCCCCAGGGCTGCTCAGCTGCCCTGCCAGCCCCTCCCTGCCCGCCTCTCCAGTGCCCGAGCTCGCCAGCTCCCTGTGAGGGGATGCCCCAGAGCTCTCCAGGCAGCCCCTGGGGATGGCAACCCTTCCTGCTGCCCAGGGCACTCGTAGGGCAGCAGAGCCCCTCGCCTTCCCATCCCGCTGCTCTGCTGCGGCCCAGCCAGGGAGGAGGGCTGGAGGAGGCCTGTCCCAGCCACCTGTCACTCGCCCCTGCTGCAGGACAACCTGGGAGCAAAGGGAAACTCTTCCTATCCCAGCTCCCCTGCCCCCGGCTGCTGCGGGGTAACTCCTGGCCCACCAGGGAATGGTGGTGATCTGCCCTGGCAGAGGGAGCACTTGGTACCCACAGTCCTCCGAGGTGGGGGCCCGGAGCGTGGCAGAACTGCTCCCCTCCAGGCGGGGGCCCTGCTGCTGAGCACTCCCTGAGCGGCTGCCTTTGCCTGACCCCAGCTGCCATCCCCGGATACCAGCATGTGCCCAGCGCGCTCAGTGCCCACGCCACCCAGTTCTACATCAACAAGATCGATGGAGCCAGCCGAGAGCACAAGCTGGAGGAGAAAGGTGAGCCTGGCCCATCCAGCCCTCGGGGCCCTGCAGTTCAGGTTGCCTGGCCGTTCAGCTGGGGAACCTCCCCGGAGATTTCTCACCCCTGCCTGTTGGCTGGCTAACAGCTGCCCCGGCTGGAGCTCCCCTCCACAGGGCAGAGGCCCGATGCCCATGCACAGGGGAGGAAGCACAGAGCTGGTTCTTCTCCTGGCTGGCACGCATTATTCCTGTGTCAAATGGGCAGGTTCTGCCCTGCCTGAGCGGATTTCCATATGCACACCCTGGCACCTGTGCAGAGAGGCCTGGGTCCTGGGCACAGCCACACTGCGTGGGTTTGACTGGGAGCCCCAGCTGGGCTGGCCACTCCTCCCTTCCCTGGGGCAGCTGCAGGGAGGGGAATGGTAGTCCTGGCTAGCAGCCATCCGTTGCCAATTTCCAGCCAGAGGGAGGAAGCCTGATGCCAGGCCAGCTCTCCCTCTTCTCCGCCACTGGCTGGACCCTGGGGTGATGATGTGGGGGGCTACCTGGGTGTCAGGGGGCTGGTGTCTGAGCCCCTGGGCCGGGACCGACGGCGGGGCCCGGAGGGCCGGGACCGGTGGCGGGGCCCGGGGGGCTGGTGGCGGGGCCCGGGGGGCTGGTGTCTGAGCCCCTGGCCATTGCAGGCGATGCCCCGCTGGAGCTCACGGACGACTGCTCCCTGGCGCTGGTGTGGAAGAACAACGAGCGCCTCAAGGAGTTTGTGCTGGTGGAGTCCAAGGAGCTGGAGTGCGTGGAGGACCCGGGCTCGGCCAGCGAGGCAGCCAGGGCTGGCCACTTCACGCTGGGCCAGTGCCTCAACCTCTTCACCAAGCCCGAAGTGCTGGCGCCCGAGGAGGCGTGGTGAGGAGTGGCCGGGGGAGGCTGGTGATGGGCTCTGAGCCGTGGGCGGGCTGCAGGGTGGGGAGGGCCGTGACCGTATGCTGTGGGGTTGTGCTGCTCCGCCCCATGCCTGCCTCTGGCTGCCAGCGCCGCTGGGCTGGGGGGAGGCACCCAGCAGCCTCCAGGCCCCGAGAAGCCTGGGCCCTCGCCTAGGGCCCTCTGGGGAAGGGCAGGGGGAGCCCAGCCTGCAGCGGTAACCAGCCCTGCGCCCCCCAGGTACTGCCCCGAGTGCAAGCAGCATCGCGAGGCCTCCAAGCAGCTCTTGCTGTGGCGCCTGCCCAACGTGCTCATCATCCAGCTCAAGCGCTTCTCCTTCCGTAGCTTCATCTGGAGGGACAAGATCAACGACATGGTGGACTTCCCGGTCCGGTGAGCCAGCCGCGCCCAGCCCCGGGGCCTCTTTACCCGGCTCAGGCTGATCGCGCCTGCCCAGCAGCATTGAGGCTTGGGCAGGCTGGGGGCCAGGCCGAGCATGGGGCAAGTGGACGGCCGGAGGCAGGAGCCAGGCCGGGGGGCGGGCCGGGGACAGGAGCCGGGGCGGGCCGGGCCGGGGACAGGAGCCGGGGCGGGCGGAGGTGGGGGGCGGGCCGGGCCGGGGACAGGAGCCAGGGCGGGCGGAGGTGGGGGGCGGGCGGGCCAGGCCAGGCCGGGGACAGGAGCCGGGGCGGGCGGAGGTGGGGGGGGGCGGGCCGGGCCGGGGACAGGAGCCGGGGCGGGCGGAGGTGGGGGGCGGGCCGGGCCGGGCCGGGGACAGGAGCCGGGGCGGGCGGAGGTGGGGGGCGGGCCGGGCGGGGGGGACAGGGGCGGGCGGGGGGGGGGACAGGGGGGGCCGGGGGGCCGGGGACAGGGCGGGGGGGGGAGGTGGGGGCGGGCCGGGGACAGGAGGGGGGGGGGAGGTGGGGGCGGGGGAACAGAGTGGGGGGAGGGGCCAGGCGGGGACAGGAGGGGGGGGGGAGGTGGGGGCGGGCCGGGGACAGGAGGGGGGGGGGAGGTGGGGGGGGGGGGCAGGAGCGGGGGGGGGAGGGGGGGGGGGGGGGGGGGGGACAGGAGGGGGCAGGGGAGGTGGGGGCGGGCGGGGAAGGGCGGGGACAGGGCGGGGGCGGGCAGGCGGGGACAGGAGGGGCGGGGGAGGTGGGGGGGGCGGGGACAGGAGCGGGGACAGGAGCGGGGCGGGCGGAGGTGGGGGGCGGGGGGCGGGGCGGGGACAGGAGCCGGGGCAGGCGGAGGTGGGGGCGGGCCGGGGACAGGAGCCGGGGACAGGAGCCGGGGCGGGCGGAGGTGGGGGGCGGGCCAGGCCGGGGGACAGGAGCCGGGGCGGGCGGAGGTGGGGGGCGGGCGGGGACAGGAGCCGGGGACAGGAGCCAGGGCGGGCGGAGGTGGGGGGCGGGCCAGGCCGGGGACAGGAGCCGGGGTGGGCGGAGGTGGGGGCGGGCTGGGGACAGGAGCCAGGGGGGCGGAGGTGGGGGCCGGGCCGGGGACAGGAGCGGGCGGGCGGAGGTGGGGGCCGGGCCGGGGACAGGAGCCGGGGCGGGCGGAGGTGGGGGGCGGGCCGGGCCGGGCCGGGGACAGGAGCGGGGCGGGCGGAGGTGGGGGGCGGGCCGGGCCGGGCCGGGGACAGGAGCCGGGGCGGGCGGAGGTGGGGGCCGGGCCGGGGACAGGAGCCGGGGACAGGAGCCGGGGCGGGCGGAGGGCGGGCCGGGCCAGGCCGGGGACAGGAGCCGGGGCGGGCGGAGGTGGGGGGCGGGCCGGGCCGGGGACAGGAGCCGGGGCGGGCGGAGGTGGGGGGCGGGCCGGGTCGGGGACAGGAGCTGGGGCGGGCGGAGGTGGGGGGCGGGCCGGGCCGGGGACAGGAGCCGGGGCGGCCGGAGGTGGGGGGCGGGCCGGGCCGGGGACAGGAGCCGGGGCGGGCGGAGGTGGGGGGCGGGCCGGGCCGGGGACAGGAGCCGGGGCGGCCGGAGGTGGGGGGCGGGCCGGGCCGGGGACAGGAGCGGCAGCTCATGGTTCCCTTGTCTCCCCAGGAGCCTGGACCTGAGCAAGTTCTGCATTGGGCAGAAGGAGGAGCAGCAGCAGCCCATGTACGACCTGTATGCGGTGATCAATCACTACGGCGGGATGATTGGCGGGCACTACACGGCCTACGCCCGGCTGCCCAGCGACAAGAACAGCCAGCGCAGCGACGTGGGTGAGGAGCCAGGCCGGGCCGCACCCTGTCCGGCCGGGGCTGTGCGGGCCGTGTGCTGACCCCGCTCTCCTCTCCCCGCAGGCTGGCGGCTCTTTGACGACAGCACGGTGACCACGGTGGACGAGAGCCAGGTGGTGACGAGATACGCGTACGTCCTCTTCTACCGCCGGCGGAACTCTCCCGTGGAGAGACCCCTGCAGGGGCGCCCCCCGGAGCACCGGCCAGACATGGCCTCTGCCGCCGAGGCAACCGCCAGTCAGGTGAGAGCTGCAGGGAGCCGCTCGGGCGCTGCCCCTGGCCGGGGTACCTGTGTGCGGGCTGGAGACTCCGGGCAGCCTCTCTCCCCTCGGGAGTCTGTGGTGAAGAAAGCCAGGCTTTGAGGGAGAATGTGGGGTGCAGCCACAGGCTGGGACAGAGCCGGGGGTGCTGGTCTGCAGGCACCATGGTCCAAAGGGTCCAGGACAAGTGAAGGTGCATCCTGAGAGGCCCGAAGCCTGGAGCTGGGGAGAGCCAAGGGATGGGGCAGGCGAGGGGGCAGCAGGGCCCCTCCATCCTGAGGGCTGTGCTGCGGGGAGCCCAGAAGGCCCCTGTGAGAGTTATGGAGCCTGAATCCCTGGTGAGCCAGCTGTGGAAAGGGCTCAGCAGGGTGGGAGGTGGAGGGGCCTGGAGGGAAGGCTGAAAGCAGCCCGGGGAGAAGCCAGCCTGCCTAGCGCAGTGCTGGGGAGACAGGGTTACGCGCCCCTGGAGGGGCAGCCAGTGCTGCAGCTCTTCACGTTAGCAGCAGGAGGCATGGCCCCAGGTTCCCCTTCTTGGCCTGTGCACTGCCCAGAGACCCGCCGGCCCCGTATGACTCTGCCGGCCTGCACCACTTCCATCCATGCCAGGAGATGGCGCCACTCAGCCAGGCTGCTGGCCACTTGCTCTTGCTGCTCCCCAGCCCTGCGTGGTCTCGGAGAGGTGCTTTCCAGATACCCGCTTGGCTTGGCGCCCGGCACACCCCATGCCAGGCTGGCTCCTTGCCTGGTTCCTCACCCAGCTGGGTCTAGCTCACACCAGCTCCTCACGAGGGGCTGTCACAGTCAGCGCTGGTCTCCGCTGCCCCTCCGTGGTCGGGGCCTGGAGCAGGTGCTGCAGGAGCGCAGGCGGGAGTCAGGCTGGCTGCGCGGGCCCTGTGCTGAGCAGGCCCAGATCCGTGTGCACGGCAGCGGCTAAGGAGAGGAACTTGCGGATCATCGACGGCTAGGGAACCACTCGCCAGCTGGAGGCAGGGCAGGGGAGCAGCGTGAGGCGCCCGCTGGGGCGGCGTGCAGGGGGTCCCCGGCACCTGCTCTCTCAGCTTCCTGGCTGCCTGCAGCGGGGCGGCACACGGCTGCTCGGATTCCCATCTGCAAGCAGCAGGAGGCACCAGGCTGCTCCCCCGGGTCACCGCCGCCATCCTGGGCACTCGGTGAAACATACCTGTAGAAACCGAACTGTGACTGGCTGCTCCAAGCTCTCCTGTGGCTTCAGTTGGCCATCCCTGGGAATAATCCTCCTGTGACTGGCTGTCGTCTGACTGATTCTCGGTTCCCACCTGCAAAAGCTGGGCTCTGACTGGCTGTCATCTGGCTGATCCTCTTGTATCTGGGCTGTGATTGGCTGGTGCCTGTGCCCCGCGCTCCTGGAGCCGCTGTTCTAGGATTACTCAGTCGCTGCTGGGCGCTGGGAGATGCCGTCCTGCAAAGCCAGCCTCGACTGGCCGCTGGCCTGGCTCCTCGGCCCATCCCCGAGCCCACTGAGACGCTGACCCTGCCTAGCGCCTGTCTCTGCCTGCTGCTGGAACCCAGGGAGGGGAGAAGGTGCGGGGCCCGCTGCCTGCCCGGATCACAGGCTGTGAAGAGCCGGGGGCAGCTGCGAATACTGGTGGCCGGGGGGGTGCTGCTGGCTGCTCGATGGCCAAGCTGCGCCCGGTGGGGGATGGCGAGGCGGGTTGCTGGGTATGTTCTCCCCAAGTGCTGACGCAGGTTTCCACATCGCAGGCTTCTCTGATCTGGCAGGAACTGGAGGCTGAAGAGGAGCCCGAGGCTCGCAGGAGACATGCCAGGACTCCCTGCAGGCCCCATGGCCAGAAGGCGAGCCAGGCCGCCCGGCAGCACCCTGACGAAGGCTGCCTCCGATATGTTGTGCTGGGCACCATGGCAGCCATTGTGGCACTCTTCCTAAATGTCTTCTACCCCCTCATCTCCCAGAGCCGCTCAAGATAGGCACTGGGGGGCAGCCGAGCTCCGCTGGGGCAGTGGCTAATCCAGCCCTGAACAGTTCCAGCCGCCCTGGCGAGGGCTGCTCTGTGCCGAGGGCATTGGGACACCTCGCCAGGTAGGTGCTGGAGTGAGCCCCGCTGCCATGACACCCAGGCCTGCTCGCGACCATGGAGACCTCGCTGGGCAGCCTTCGTTGCAGGATCCCGCTCTGCAGAGTACTCAGCCAGGCTCCGTCCGGCTCCTGGGGAGCAGGAACTCTCCAGGCCGCTCTGCCCTCCGGCAGCAGGTGCTCTGGGGTGCAAGCAGCCAGAATGGCGGACCAGCGGAGCGCAGCTGGGCCTGGCACATGCTCCTAGCCTGGGAGGTCGGATCGCCGCTGGGGCTGCCAGCCCTGGAGATGGTGCGCACAGACTCGGGCAGGCCTTGCCCAAGCAGTAGTGAGGCTGGGACTGATGCAAGGCCTCCCTGCGTGGGTCCCCTCTACTGCAGAGCGATCTCCCGCTGAGCCTAGCGCTCCACCTTGCTAGCCATGGGCTCTGCTCCTGGCATGCTGGGTCCTGTGTGCCCGTGGCTCCAGGCGTGGTGCTGCCCGGAGGTTGCTGGCTGGCTGGCCTCAGGACCTTCACATGGGCACAGGCCCCGTCACACGCAGAGTTGTTTGGGCTCATGCCTGCTGGACTTGGCTGCCTCCCTGACAATTAGCCTGCTGGCTGTGGCCTCGTGACTAATAGTCCCCAGTGTGCAGCAGGCCTGCCTGCTCCACCCCACACCTCCGCTCGCCCCCGAGTGCCGGCCGGGAGTCCCACGGCCCATGTGGGCTCAGCATCTGCCACAGTTCAGCCGAGTCCAAAAGGAGCTGGTGGGAGGTGGGGCCAGTCTCTCTGCGGCGACCTGGGGGTGGGACCTTGGGAAAGCATGCCCAGCGCTGGACCCGGGGTGGGGAGTTCCTGCCAGGATGGCAGCAAAAGGCCCTCCGTTGTGTACTGTATGGACCATATTAATAAATCCGGGCTGTTCCACCCGTGCGGTGCCCGTCTCCTTTCTCTGCGCCAGGGAATGACTCACCAGGGGCCAAGGGAACTGGCACCAGATCCCCCATCTCTGCCATAGTCGCGCCACTGCGTGCCACACTCTGCTCAGCCATCCTTGGGCTGCCCCTGCCAAGCTGCTCCTTACTCTGAGGCAGGGACTGCGCCCATGCTGCTGCCCAGCCTGCGGGGAGTTCATGCTCATGGCTCTGCCAGGAGCCCGCTGGCCCCACTTCTTACGGCGAACGCTCCCCAGCTCTGCGTGAGCCTGACAGCTGCATGGCAGAGCCAGCCCCGCCCTGTGCTGCAGCTCCACTGAGAACAGGGCTTGCCCAGGCAGGTGGGGAACTGGGGCTCCGAGCATGTGTGCGCTGGGCTGGGGTGGGAGAGAAGCCCTGCTAACGCTGCAGAGGGACGTGCCGGGCTGGGGCTGGCAGCGAGGGACATCAGCAGAGCTGTGGGCTGAGCTAGGAGGATTTGGATGTGCAGAGTGGTGCCGTGCCAGTGGTCTGCGCCCCAGGACGGAGGCGGGACGCTCAGCATGGCTCGCGGTGCATGGCGTTCTGTCCAGATTTGTGCGCTGCGCCCCCACCCGATGCAGCCCCGGCGAGTAGTCTGGCGTAGAGTGAGACGGCCCCTACGGCAGGCAATGGCAAAGACCTGGCCATCACCCACCTTCTGCAAATGCAGCACCGCGGCCCCAGAGTAGAGCCCACTGTTGGCCTCGCCCCCGTCCCAGACTGCCTGTGCGCAGCCCCTGCTGTCGCGTCTGGAGCTTTGCGGGGGCTCTGCCCACAGCAGGCTCTGGCCTGGGACGGGCCGTGCCCTTGGCCCTCTTCTGGCTTCGCAGCCTGAGCTCCGCACTGCAGCGTGGCTCCTTCGCCAGGGCTGGGGCTTGGCCTTCAGTGCTCTTGGCAGCCTAGGCACCCTGCGGGGCGCCTGGCCGTGTCCTGCTGCTTGTGTCCCCCTCCCAGCCAGCCAAGGCCACAGGGCTCGAGTGCTGACCCTTGTCTGGAGTCTGTGAGGGACACCCCTGCCCTCAAGTCCCCTGCCAGCCGAGGAACGCTGCACCAGCCTCTAAGGGGGCGACTGGCCCAGGGCTTTCTGGATTCCGACCCAGCGCTGAGCCATGGTTCCTCTGTCCTCACGAGGAGGAAGAGGCAGGGCTGGGGCAAGTCTCCGCCCCAGCACTGGCCCCTCTGGGTCTCGGGCCTGGTCAGTACAGGTTCCAAGGACCTGCCATGGGGGCAAGGGGCAGCTCTGGGTCCGTAGGAGCTGCAGGGTCTTGCTCTTGGCCTGTGGCTTTGGCTGATCCCCACCCAGCTCCGATAGAAAAGAGACTGAGAGTCCTGCGAACTAGTGCACGGGTGGCCCTGTGGCAGGGGAGCGTGCCCTGCTGGCACACCTTCGGGGTCCTGGGAACTGCCCAAGTAGCTCCACATCCAGCCGCGGCCAGCAAGCCGAGATGTGGGCTGGAGAGCGTGCTCACACTGTGGTGTGGCCAAGGAAGATGGACGCCCGCACTGGGCCACTGCACTCTTGCCCCAGGCAAGGGACTGAGGTCTGGCCACAGAGGAGCCTGGAGCCCCCATCATGTAGCCCAGCAGGGCCTAGCATGCTGCTTCCCCACCACACCCAAGGCTGGCATGCTGGCAAGGAAGCAGCTGCCCCATGTCCGGCCAAAGCAGATCCTGCCCCTCCCTTGGTCTCACGAGGCAGGCCATGGGGATGGGATCCTGGCTTCTGCTCTGCTTTTCCCTCGGCACTAGCTGTTGCAGGGCCGAGCTCCTGTGGGGATGTCACAGCCAGGCGGGAGAAACACTCGTGCTCTGGATCATGGGGGCAGCCATCTGTCAGAGTCCAAGGCCACAAGGGATCGTTGTGATCATCTCTTCCAGTCGCCGAGAGCAGATCCTTTAGGAAAACGTCCAGTCTTCAGTTCTGAAGTTCCAGGGATGGAGAATCCACCACAACCCCGGGAGGGGAGACTGT